TGGACTCCATCCACAGAAAGTGATGCTTTGCATTTGATGGGACATCAAAGGAGTAATTCATTTCAAACTCCTCAATCTACAGCAAACTGTCAATGCAGAGATCTAGTCAGCAACTGAAAGATTTAATGCAAGCCCTTCATTAGAAATGCTCTTTACTCGTCGATCGGAAAGGTGTTCTTCTTCTTCTTCTTCACAACAATGTACGTCCACATATGGCATGTTTGATGCAACACAAGATTATGGAGTTGGATTGGGAAGCTCTCCCCTACCCACCATATTCTCCAGAGATGGCACCATCAGATTATTATCTTTTTCATTTGCTGCAACACCATCTTAATTGGAAAACATATGTAAATGTGGAAGGTGTTAAAGAGGACAGCAACAAGTTTTTTGCTTCAAAGCCAAGTGATTTCTTTAATCATGGCATTAACAACCTGATCGTAAGATGGAAAAGCATCATCGAAAAGAATGAGAACATTTGAGATCAATTGATCAAGAGCTTTGAGAAGCCATAAGCACTGTCAAGCGTCTATGTGCAGCGAAGCAGGCCCAAATATCCAACTAATTATCATGAATAATACATATATAATCTAAAATTCTAAATAAATGTTTGTATTGCTATATCTTTTGATGTGCCTTAATATTTTAAGTTATATTTAGTGTGCCATTGGGCCAAAAAGGTTGAGAAACACTGATCTAGATGTACATCTGCACAACTGGCATTATATTATTGAAGATACAGAGTGCCAAAGTAGAGAATTTTCATGGGTCAGGTGACAATACATTGAAAGTTTTAAGTAGTTTTATAAAGGATTCTTATAAAATTTAGGACAGAAAACTTAGATAACATAAAACTTTGAATCATCACATCCATTATAATGTTAATTTCATTTACATACATTGATTGTAAAGGTGTTAATTAAATTTTGAATGTAATACAGTAACTTGTGCAGAAAAGTGTTTAAAGGGGTACCTGGTGCAATAGGGTTAATGGGAGAACCCTTTCTTCCCCAGTTTCAAGCTACTTGATTGGGTTTGTGTAATCCCACTGATCATGAGGATCGACCCCCTCAGTGGGTACTGGGATTTACCTAGAAGTTTAGTTTGGGTCACCCCACTACACTATGAATTACACAATTTCTATTGGTTAGGCTAGCTAGATGGGTCTTATGTTCTCCTTTGGTTACGGGTCTGGGATACTTTATAACTGCACCTGATTATTCTATCGGGTACCTCACTTAAATATTTTTTCTGCATGTTACAGACTGACTTATTTCTCCGGCCATAGTGTGCACTCGTGCTGGAACGACCACATAAGGGATGATATCTGGTTTAGCAGTCTTACATTTTCCACACCTTTGCAACACTTTAGTACCATGCAAAATGTTCTTTAGATAATATCTTTTGCTTTTTCACATTTAGTCTGGCAAAGAGTATTTCCTACCTGAGAAGGATGCAATCTCTCATCGAATGGTATCCCACTAGGCTACCCCAACCCCCTATTAAATTGTGACATATTTTGTGAGCTTTCTATATTCGTGATGCTAAGATTTCACAAGGGAGCTGAACTTTGTAATTTTTTTTCTACACTGGATTCTCCACCATCTTATCAATGTGGGATTCTAACTCTGTGAGTATATGTTTCTCAAGTTAACATTTTCCTTACTTCTATGCACAAGCTCCTACTATTCCTCCCCACTTCTAGTGTATTTCTTTTGCCTCGTCAAAAGTGATCCAATGTTCCATTGCTATTGCTCACACGGATTATTGTTCATGTAGGATGTGTCCCCCTCCTATTGGTGGAGAGCTATAGTCTATTGATGGTTACATCATAGGCTGTCACATTGATACATGAAGGGTAGGAATTTCATTCAAAGATTGTGGCATGTACCAAAATCTCCACAGCAATAGCATGAGGTAATAGCTCTTTGTTGTGCTAAGAGATGAGTATCTATTTGAAATACATTTTCAAGTAAGGAAAATATTAAGCTTAAGTTTAACAAATGCTATGGCAAAATTAAACCTAGTAACAACAACAACACTCTTTTCAATTGCATCTAACTTATGATTAGACAAATTACAACTTTATTAATAAAGAGGAGTTGGATGTTGTTAGAAAATTAAGTAAAAATGGGAACATTGTATTAATGGAACTTGATAAAGGAAATTGTTTTTTCATCTTAAATAAATGTGATTACCTTCTAAAAAACAGAAGGTATTTTAAATACTAGTAACAAATTCAAAAACTGTGACTTATATTTATGTTTTGGAAATAGTGAATTGTGAATTCTTGAATAAACAAAAACACATCATAGTGCTCAGATATGCCAGTTTAAGAAAATTAAAAAATCTAGAAAGATTATTATTAATGATTAAATCTGTCTAGACTGTAATCTGAAAACTGTGCCAAATGGCTAACATTTACAAAGTAGTTAATGAATATTCATGGTATTATTTCCATCACTACTCTTAAGCCTTCTACTGGTGAAGAGCAGTTCAAAGCAATTGCCTGTTTAATTATACTGGTGTCGTGTTACTGAATGGTTAATAACAAAAAAAAGATTAATTTTTTTTTATTAAAGTTGTCAGTTCTTCTTTGTCGAATAACTATTTTAGGCTAAAATTTAACAAACTGCTTTTATTAATGTGTTACATTACATGGACTTTAATTATCTAAAAAGATATTCATTAACAGTTGTATACTCATTGTTGTATAGAAGATGCTCAACTATTAAATACCAGATCGCTTGATTTTCTATTTTCTCTTCATGGTTTTTGTTTCTTTATTTTTTATTTTCCAAAAATCACACACACACACAATGTAAATTCCACTCTTATTTAATATTATTAAAGCTGTTTTTCCAGTTTTTTTTACTACATGTATCCCTGCGAGTTTTGTTCTCAAACATAATAGCTATTACTTTCATTCTTTTAGCTCTCCAGACTCTGGAAGTACCACTCTCTCTGGCAGTAGCCAAACAAAACCAAGTAGAAGTTTACCATCTGTTTGGAAGGGGTTTATCTCTATGCAGGATGTAGCCAAGTTTGTTACTTCAGCATATAAAGTATCTGGCCCTACTGACTTTCTGACACAGGTGCTGTGATTATATACAGGAATAAGCAGATAGAGAATTCTCTTGTGTGTCTAATAGAGTGTTTACAAATTATATTAAAGAATTCTATTGCTAGTTTTATTTGGTCATGTGGTTTCACATTTTTTCTTTTCCCAAGTTTGCCTCTTAAATGTTTACATTTCCTTGAGGTTTATACCTGTACTTCATTCTAAAAAGAGCTATCAACCCATATATGATTCACCTTGCTATCACATAACAAACCAAAATGTGGCCTATTCCATGAAAAAAGGTATGAAAGTCTGTGATATAAAAGAAAATACTTTAAAGGTTACAAAATACAAAAACTTAATTTGCTTCAGAATGTAACAAACAAAATTATATATAAAACTATAATTTCACAAATACTTAATTACTATTAATACAAAACAAAAGTAGCAAAAGTAATTTTAAACATTACGAACATGTTCTTACTTATTCTTCACCTCTTCCTCATTTCTTCTCTTACATCCTAGTTTTACAAATCTTCCTTCTTTAAACAGTTTTTCTGATCTTTGTGTATGTTTGGTAAATTGCCCTTATTCTTTCAGGTTAATGTTGTATTTATATATTCTTTTTACAATTTCAGATATTTTTGGAGTATTTTAGGGCTGCATAAGATGTTTATTTAAAACTGTGAAGCACTTTATCATGCTAGTGTTATTCAAATGTTTCTTTGTGTGTTGAAATTTTATGAGTTTGTACAATGTTTCTCTGGTTTTAGGACATTCCAGATACAGTTCAGGTTTGTGGACGTATAACACAAGAACAAATGTGGGAGTATGTAAGTAGGACCAAGCAATCAGGAAATAAGGTATTGAATTTATAACTGTATTAAATTTATTATTATAATTTGAATATAAATAAAATTTAAATAAAAAAGTAATATTTCTTAGTGAAGTATTTTTAATAAAATAAAGATTTGTCCATGAATATATATATATATATTGAAAATTTGTCAGTCTTTCGGTTAATATTACAAGTCTTTCATGTACAAAAAGTCATATTCATTAGTGAAGTATTTTTAATATAAGATTTGTCCATGAATATATTTGGTATTTGTTTTGAATACTACGTGTGCAAAGTAATTTTTATGTTAAAATTAAAAATACTTTTCCTCATTTCAAAACTCTCAAATTTCCTTTGTGTAATCCCTAAAACCTCCTAAATGCATTTCAAACGTTGTTTTTTCAGTAAAACTTTTTAGTTTATCTGTTATTTTCTCTTCCCTATCTCAAAATGGAAATGGTCAATCTGATGGACCTGACCTTGTAACCACCAAAAAGAAAAATCAAAATAAATCTAGATTACCCTTTTTTTTCATTCTATAATGACTTCAAATTGTAACATGAAACTTTGTAACATTTGTTTATCTTAAGTGGCTTGAAGTGTGTAACAGTATACATGTACATCTATTTATAATTATATTTTATTGTTTTATTGTGCTTTGAACTGTGTCTAACTACTATCTATGCCATTATAAGTTGTAAATCACTTGGGGAACGTGCAACTCAAGTTACGCTAAAGATTTACATTACCCACGAGCAGCTTGCATGTGTGCCTCATGAAACATTTTTATTATATTATCATTATTTATTTTACCTAATCTAGTCTTAACTAACCTGAAAGAATCCATATTTTTACATTTTACTTACTTTTATAATTATACCTAAAGAATAAACATGAAAAACAAGAAATAAAATACTTGACCAATCTTCTTTTTTTTCTTGCTGCTGGATTTCGAAGAGAGTTATCCCTAATTATTATATACTAATGATAGTAGTGCACTTAATAATTTTTATTTAATTAAATAA